CTGCAACATACTCTACTAAACAATGTCTTACTGCTACATACTCTACTAAACAATGTCTTACTCACTGCTACATACTCTACAAAACAATGTCTTACTCACTGCTACATACTCTACTAAACAATGTCTTACTCACTGCTACATACTTTACTAAACAATGTCTTACTCACTGCTACATACTCTACTAAACAATGTCTTACTGCAACATACTCTACTAAACAATGTCTTACTCACTGCTACATACTCTACTAAACAATGTCTTACTCACTGCTACATACTCTACTAAACAATGTCTTACTCATTGCTACATACTCTACTAAACAATGTCTTACTGTTACATACTTTACTAAACAATGTATTACTCACTGCAACATACTCTACTAAACAATGTATTACTCACTGCTACATACTCTACTAAACAATGTCTTACTCACTGCAACATACTCTACTAAACAATGTCTTACTGCTACATACTCTACTAAACAATGTCTTACTGTTACATACTCTACTAAACAATGTCTTACTCACTGCTACATACTCTACTAAACAATGTCTTACTGCTACATACTCTACTAAACAATGTCTTACTCACTGCTACATACTCTACTAAACAATGTCTTACTCACTGCTACATACTTTACTAAACAATGTCTTACTCACTGCTACATACTCTACTAAACAATGTATTAAATATACTCTACTAAACAATGTATTAAATATACTCTACTGAACAATGTATTAAATATACTCTACTAAACAATGTATTAAATATACTCTACTGAACAATGTATTAAATATACTCTACTAAACAATGTATTAAATATACTCTACTAAACAATGTATTAAATATACTCTACTAAACAATGTATTAAATATACTATACTGAACAATGTATTAAATATACTATACTGAACAATGTCTTACTTACTGCTACATACTCTACTAAACAATGTATTAAATATACTCTACTAAACAATGTATTAAATATACTATACTGAACAATGTATTAAATATACTATACTGAACAATG